AGGGCGTATTGCTGGAGGAGGATTAAAACACCTGATCGTAACATAAGGCCCCGTACAAGAGACCATGTTAACGCCATTAGAAATCGATAGTCACATCCCCAGTTTCCTCCTTGAGAGATACAGTGGACTGAACTCCGCAAGGGTTAATATCAAATAGTGGTAGGTGTGAAAATCACGATTGAGTCTGTGGATTGAGGGCACTTGGAGAGTTTGAAGTCTTTATTCGAGACATAAATGCGGCGAAGGTTAGTAGTCGAAATGTGATAGGGATAAAAAAATTAAAAGTATAAAATTACTGAAGTATTTTTTAAGCATTTAAAATTCTACACTGTTAATTTAAGTTTTGTTTTTGAAATAAAAAAAAAAATAGAAATAACATAGTTATTTATGTGCCTAGGTTAATAAGCAAATGTTTATGACGCTTAGAGGGAAGACCTATACACCAAAATTCGTTTGATGGCGAATTTTACATTCGTAACACATGCCGTGAATATAATTTAAATATGTCAGTTAACCTGGAAAATGTGCATGGCAAATTTAGTCAACTATCATAGAATACAAAACCAAGTTGAGAGACCAGTTGATTAGCCCAAACGGTTTGAAAAGTTAGCACGCTGCCAAGCTATAAAAACTTAAAAAGTTTCCAGTACCAGCTGAGAAGATAAAAGCGTTAGAGCAGCACGCGTCCATTTATTGGCGAAGGTTCTAACTCTTCCGCCAACATTTCAACACAGTACCGCCACACAGTGTGTATGTAAATTCATTTTGTGTAGACTCATGGTATGCATAGTTTGTGAAGAATAGTTACAAAATGTAGCTCAGTCCATGTGAAAATCTATAAAATATTTGACCAGTAGTCAAAGTGTTAAGATACAAAAAAATTTGCGTGACATATGGAAGAAATTCAAAGAATTTATTTTTATTGGTCTTACAATACGTTTTCGTCCATTTGGTGACTTATCTCATGCTATTTGTATCCTATCCTGTGCCATTCTACGAATCTGTTCGTTCCACTCCTGTTTCCGTTTTTTCACCCAACCATTTATGTCTTCTTATGGTTTAGCTTCTCTTCCTATCCAACAGACTTTTCCCTGGTATTTGTCGCAGTATTTTCATCTCTGTTGTTTCTAGTAGTGGTCTCGTTTTAGATGTGTCAGGTCTTGTCTTTGCTGTCTATGTTAATATATGTCTAATTGCTGCTTTATAGATTCTTAAGTGTTTGTTCTTCCAGATTGTGTCATTAAGAGATCCCGCCTAGTTATATCTATTCCCACATATCTAAACCTTGTTTCCTGCTTTATTATTTTCCCATCAATTTCGATTTTACATTGTAGTGGGTATTTAGATGTTATCATACATTTTGTTTTTTCTGCTGATATTATCACATTGTATTTCTTGGCTGTTATATTAAGATCTTTGTAGCTCCTCTTCTGTCTCGCTGATTAATGCGGCGTCGTCTGCATAACATAATATTTGGATTTTTTTGTTCCCCATTCTGTAGCCATGACCTTTACGTACTGCTTGTATTATTTCGTCCATTATTATATTAAAGAGAAGTGGGCTTAAGGAGTCACCCTGTCTGACTTCGTTTTGTACTGGTATATACTGTGTTAGTTTTCCATTTATCTTTGCCTGTATTCGACTGTGGAAGTAGATGTTTTCGATGGTTTGTATAATATTGTTTGTATGTATGGTATGTTTCTTTTATACAGTTGGTGTAAGACGTCTTCGACTTGGATGCGATGGAAAGCCTTTGTCAGGTCTATAAAACATAGATATGCTGGTTTATTGTACTCGATGGCCTTTTCTGTGATATGTCTTAGTACAAATACGGCGTCTACGCAGGATCTTTGGAATCTGAATCATTGTTGTGCATTTGATAAACTATTTTAATTTCTAGAGTGTTTTTGTAAAAATCTTTGACTTCATTGATCTTTAATGCTATATACGGAGATCCTCCTCTATCTGTATGAGTTACTGTCATCACTTTCTTAAAGGCATCTTTCACTTTTATTTTATTTGCATTGGCACTAATACCTAGAATTGAAGCCGCTTCTCTCCTATTCATCTTTTGATCAAACCCTCTTTTATAGTATTTAGAGCAGCAATTAAAAACGCTGCCAAAACTTTTAATGAAGCAATGAAAACCCTCCCCCAGTTCAATTGTGCCTCAGTTGCTAACTTTAAATACTACAAAGGAGGGTTCGATCAAAAGATGAATAGGAGAGAACTTCAGTTCTAGGTATTAGTCCCAGTGCAAATAAAATAAAAGTGAAGGATGCCTTTAAGAAAGTGGTGGCAGTAAATCATCCAGATAGAGAAGGATCTCCATATATAGCACTAAAGATCAATGAAGCCAAAGATTTAAAAAAAAAACTTTAGAAATTAAAATAGTTTATTAAATTTAAATTGTATATAGACAAAAAGCTTAATAAAGATCTGATAAAGTTGTTAGTGTATTGATTTTGTTGGTTTGGACTTTTGTGGTAAGCTTAAATGCGGTGTTCAGTAGATTTATACCTCTATAATTGTTGAAGTCTTCATTATATCCTTTTTTGAACATTGGTATCATTATGCTGTTTCTTTATGTGCCTGGTAACTTGCAGTGTAATATTAGTTTTTTGTATAAATTTTGTCATCTCTAGGGTTATACTTTCTCCTTTGTATTTTAGAAGCTCGTTGGTTATTCCGTCTGGTCCTAGTGACTTTCTATTTTTGAGTGAATTTATGGCTATCTCTTCATCCTGAAAAGTGATTTCTATTTTGTGTCTTAATTCAGGTACGCTATTGTGTTGATTATTATTTTCCTTTCCTTTAAACAGTTCCGTCAGTTATCTTTCTCATTCATTTACTGGTATGTTATTATATTCTTTCAATTCTTCCATTTCCTTTGGTTTTTTATGAATCTTCATATTTGTTTTTGTGTACCGTAGAAGTCGCTTTCCGTCCTTTTTGTAAACTGGTCCCAGTGTTCATTTTTAGTTCTTCTTACCAACTGCTTTGTTTCATTTCGCATTCTTCTATAAGTGTCTCGGAATTGTGGAGTATTTGTTGTTTTGTACTTCTTGTGAGCCTTTCGTTTCTGTGTACATCCCTATTTTATTTCTTTGCTGAACCATGGTGCATTGTTGTTACTTCTTTTGTTCAGTATGACTTTGCGTTTTTCTAGAGCTTCTGTTGCTGCTTTTTCGATGTTGTTTTTAATTTTCTTCTATCTTCCATCCATCCAATGGCACTACAGCCCAAGCCGGGTCTTGGCCTCCTTCACTAAACCTCTCCAAACATCTCTATTTACTGCTGTTCTTTTCCATGAACGCGTTTTTAGGAGATTTTTGGCATCCTCATCTACCTCGTCTTCCCATCTCTTTTTTGGTCTTCCAACAGGTCTTTTTCCTTGCATTCTTGCGTTTAGTAATTTTCTGGGGATTCTGTTCTCATGCATGCGGGCCACATGCCCTGCCCATCGTAATTTCTTCTATCTTGCGTTTATATATTGGATGTTGTCTATTTTTTCAGCTGTTTTTTCTGTGCTGGACTCCTTTGATATATTTTCTCTTGTAGAGTCGTTCCACAGTGATTCTACATTGAATTTTTCCTAGGTGATTTCCTGTAGAAAATGTAATGGTGATATTTTCATTCTTATTCTGGCTAGTACTAGTTTCTGTTTACTACCTGAGTCTGCTGAGTTTAAAGTTCGAATATCTAGAATCTGCTTTGAGTGGATTTTTCTATTAGTGACTATGAAATGAAACATAGATTTGTGCCCTCTGGAGTTTTCAAATGTATATTTATACTGGAGCTTATGGTCGGGAAATGTATTGTTGATTCTCAGTTTGTTAAAAGCATAGAGATTAGCCATGAGTTCTTCATTCCAAGCGACCCATACATAGGTAACAAAGTCATGATTTACAAAAATATTCTGAGGATAGCAGAATCATACAGCACTCTGCTCTTGGCTTATTAATAAGCTTAACGCTTTGGCTTAATGAGCTAAAAATTTCGCTTGCATAACAAAGTAGTAAGCAGTAATCACCAGCGTCTATTTTGATAGACTGTGGATGCTCTCCTTGTTCCGTCTACTCGTCTCTATCCAGTTCGGTTATAATTTATTTTGTTTTAACGTATTTCATAAGATCGTCACTCTATTTCATATAAAATTTTCGCATTTTTAACCAGTTTTTTAGTTTTGATAATAATAAAAAATTTTAAAATAAATACTTTGAAAATTAATGATAATAATGATGCCCGAAAATTTCGAAAACTCCTTTTCATATTAAATTACATTGTGAAACAGACAATGGAGTCACCACTTGATAAATTCTCGAGTTAACAAAAAGCAGAATTAATCGTCACCAAACCAGGGCTGAAGACCACTTTTAAATTCTTGGATGGAATCGTAGGAGTTGAACGCCAAAGCCGTCATTTGCATATCCGAGGAACCGATACCGACGGCTTGAATTGATTACGGAAAAAAGAAGAATATTAATCAATGACACTTAAAAAGGTTGAGTAGACGAAGGATCCAAAAGAAAAACTAATACTGCGGTTTATTGGAAATTTATCTAATCTAATTAATTTTGTTAATTAAAATTAATGTTAGATGTTGATAAATTGCGTTGAGTTTCGCTCAACGTTATTTATCAAAACTAATTGAAAAAAGCTTTTTGAAAATTGATCCACAAACTTAATTCATATAAATGAACCGGTCAAATAAATTTTTTATACACGTAAAGCATTTTGTATTGGATTTCAAAACGGGACCTTTTCTAATCAAAGTTTAGGTCAGAAGAAAGGATTTTTGAAGCAGCGCTTCTCTAAATCTGTAGTATTGCTTTTTCTTTATAGTAAAATGCTGAGACAAGCTTCACAAAACCAGCGTCACGAAATCACGGTCTTCTTCGATTCACTACTTTCGATCAATTCGTTAGTAGTCATCTTCTATTTTTTTTTAAGTAGGTTTAGATTAAAATATGTTCGAAAAATAACTAACAGAATACAGCTTTTAATGAAAAGTAAAAAATTAAAAGTATATCTGTCAAAAAAAGATAGTACAACAAAGTTATCATAAAAATGTCATCCAATTAATATCAATAAAAAATCGTCTGTTTAATGCAAGATTTCGTAATTATTTCAAAATGAACATTAAATAAATTTAAAGTCGTAATAATAAGTATACTCATAATGAATATTTATCTAAATATGATCTGGCTTTTCAATATCCGGTTTGTTTTTCGCTATAATGCTATAATTGTCCATGTACTTTTTCTTTTATAACTGATGAAAAGATTCTTGCTATTGAAGGCATTACACTGATCCCTCTGTAGTTATTTGGTGACCTTTTGTCACGTTTTTTGAAAGGAGGACATGTATGATAAATTCCACTCATCGGGAATCTTCTCTCCTGCTTCGAATTTATTGAACAACATTTGTATAAAGGATACTATCCTTACACCTCCATATTTCAGCAGTTCCATTTTTATGTTCCCTAGTCCTGGTGCTTTATTGTTTTTGGATTTCTTTAGTGATTTGTTTATATCTTCCTCTGTGATTTCTGCTTCCTCAGTTATTATTGTCACAGGGTCGTATAAAAATTGGTTCGGTCCGGTCTATTCTCCTGCAATAATTTTGTGTAATGTTTTGTCCACTCTTTTTATGTAATTATCTGTATGGTATTTTTACTTCGTTTATTGCTTCTGATGTTTTTTATTTTTTTCCATGCTTCCTTTGATCTGTTATACCCTATCGTGTTGTCTATGTCTCTGCACATTCTCCCCCAGTATTCGTTTTTCTCGAGCTTTATTCTTTGTTTAACTTGATGTCTGAGGGTAACATATTCTCCCCGTGTTCCTGGGGTTCTGTCGTTTACCCATTTATGAAATGCACTTTTTTTTTCTTTTAATCATCTCTTCTAAGTCGTCACTGTATTTCTCCAAATATGTATTCTTATGTTGTTCAATACTCAGCACTTCGTTTGCCGCTTTATTTATTTTCTCCTTTAGCTGTTGATACATTTCTGTTATGGTCCATTCTTCGTTCATCTGTAGCATATTCTGTAGCCTATTCTGATATAGTGTTTGAGTAGTAAATTGTTGTAGAAATTCTACTTTATACCTCGTATTTGCGATTTTTTGCATCTCCTCATCTTTCTGGATATTGTCTTTTTGTCGTCTTCCCGTGTATATGAAATACACGGGGAAAACAAGCCACAAGAGCACTTTATGGAGTGATATGGAACAACACTCTAACCAAAGAAAACAAAAAGAGGATCTTTCAAAGCATAGTGATGAATATTACCCTATATGGAGCGGAAGTATGGCCCATGACAACAACAATACGAAATAAAATAAGAACAGTTGAACTGGACTTTATGAGAAGATGTCTACAAATCACAAGAGCGGATAGAATAAGAACGGAGGAAATATGGAACAGAATGGAAGTAGAATGCTCAATTACAAAAAAGTTGGAAAACAGAGCCCTGCAGTGGTACGGGCATGTAAAAATAATGCCAGAGCATAGGTGGCCGAAAAGAATATTAAACTGGGACCCGCTGGGAAGAAGACGGAGAGGAAGACCTGCTACAAGATGGAAAACATACGTCGGAAATGTTATGATAGATAGAGACCTCAGAGAAGGAGACTGGGAGAATAGAATGCTGTGGAGGACGAAAACGGCGAACTCGTAATGGGAAAAGCCGAAGAAGAAGAAAAAGAAGAAGTTTTACTTTGGTGGTGTGGTCACGATCTCTAGGGGCTCTTGGGGTAGCTACAATGTGGGAGGCCACTCTGTTGGGATTTATTGGTGCTTTGTCTCTAGTTGGGAGTCTACTACTACCAAGTTTTCTAAGTAAAGACCATGCTTTTTTACTTGATTTACTAAAGTCTAATTTTTCCACAGTTTTCACTCTCTCAAGAAGTAAACAAAATCCTACGCTTAGAAGTGGGTCAATGCAAATATTTTGCGTCGACTAATCGATGTTAGCTTTAATGTCCAGAAAACCTATGTTAGTTGCGGAAGGTTAATATTTTGGCCTACTTTTTTTTACTATGCATTGTGGCGTTTACCGTGTTAAAACTAAAACTATTTCTACTAGCTCCCTAGGAAGAAATCTTAATACCCGGTAATGACATTCAAAAACATTCTATACAATCCGACAAATAAAATTGCAGCCGCGTGCTCGCACCTAATAGTTGCCTATTTAGAATTCAGGGTACATTGTTATTTGAGCAGACAAGGCTTGTTGGACGCACCCCATTTGATTGATTAAATAGACATGGTTATGGAGGCACCTTAGGCCCCCGAACTACTCATCAGAATGCATGATGGAACATGTACAGGTGAAAAATATTCAGGGTGTAAACATGACTTGACTGAAGATACTCTATCACGCCCGACGAGGTGTTGAATAAATTTGGAATCTATTAAGACACTTCGCTGCTCGACCGTAGGTTAGTTATCAAGTTTGCAGTTAAGAGTTTGAGAAAAGCGCGTTGGAAATTTGAGGAGTTGAGTTACGTGGAAACGGGTCGGCCAGATTGATATAATGTAATAAAAGCAAAGTAATTTTAGTTTCAAACTAGACAAGCAACACGAACAGCATCTTTTAGATATAGTTTTATGCAATCGTAATACAAGACTATCGAAAACAAAATTGTTAGGCTAGGGGTAGGGGAGGGTAGTACACAATGAGACAAAAATAAATTTTTATTTCTTACATTAGCATTTTTAAATTTGTCTACATACTGAGTTAACCAGCCATTAATATGATTCTTTGCTCAATAAGAAACAAAATCTATGATTAACGTATTGCTGCAGCTCTAAGGTCGATAGAATCGTGGTTTAACAATATTGGGCTCCAGTTTTGTACCACAAAAACAAAAGCTATACATTTTTCACGAAAATCGAATCCAAAAAAGCTCCCAAATCTGTTTTTATACAATTCTCCTATAGACTATACAGAAGAAATAAAATTCCTAGGAACGCAACTGGACTCAAAATTAAGCTGGACAAATCATATACAGTCGCTAAGACTATCGTGCCAAGCTGAAAGAAACATTATGAAATCTGTATCACACAAAAATTTAGGAGCTGATTTTCCAACTCTAATAAAGTTATTTATTTTTTTAAGGCTTTTTCTCTGTTCGGATTCTCGGCCTCTCCTAATTCTCGCCATTCATCTCTGTTGTCTGTAAGACATTTCCACATTGGCCCTGCAGTTCTTTTAATATCGTCGCTCCGTCGCATTTGCGCTCTTCCTCGTGGTCTTTTGCCTTCATATGGCCGTCAATCCCCAATTTCTTTATTTCATCGGCCATACGAAAGACGTTCGTTATGTCCAGCCCATTTCCATTTCAATTTAGCTGCCTGTTCGAGAGCATCTTTTACTTTTGTTCTATTACGAATGTCTATTACAGCATCTGTCGTTCCAGTTTTTCTGATTTTCTCCATGTTTATTTTAGTGAATGTCCAGGTCTGAGCTCCATATGTAAGCATAGGTAGGATACAGGAATTAAACACTTTGGTTCGCAGTCTTTGAGGTCTATTTTGATTTTTAAGTACGTATGAGAGTCTTCCGAATGCTGCCCATCCCATTTTTACATGTCTGCTTATTTCGGTAGTCTGATTTTCTTTGCTTACCTCGACATTTTAACCCAGATATGTATATTCACCTACGTGTTCTATATCTGTCCCTTCGATGTTTATCATAGGTTTATCACATTTGTTTGATATTAGTTTAGTTTTGCTGAACTTAATTTTCAGTCATTTTGTTAGGGATTCTGTGTGTAGCTCCTCAATCATCGTATTCAGTGCATTCCACGTGTCGGCTATTAGTACTACATCATCTGCGTATCTAACATGATAATAAATTTATATGGAGCTTTAATTAAATCAAACTGGATCACGGATGTATTGTATATAACTCCGCAAACCAAACATTGCTTAAAACCTTGGATACTCTTCAGAGTTCAATTGTTAGACTTGCTCTTGGAACATATTGCATCAGTTATGTGGACACTCTTTTCTGTATAACTGGAGAGTCACCCTTAAACCTAAAACGAACATACTCTCCATCATACTGTTGCTGTAAGGTTCCAGGAAGTCTATCAAAAAAGAAGCAGGAATACTGCACTTTTCTATGAACGAGCTAACAGATACTTATTAAATTTTAATATTGAATTACCTCCTATTTTTCCTACCTGTGAAATAAATTTATGTTTTCCTCGGGTTGTTCCCTCTCGGCTTTGTAACCTTAAACTTACAATAACAAAACTAACATGATACTCAATTTTTTAAAACTCACTTTCTCCATGTTCTCACATAGTACAAAAATTACCATCTTATATACACGGACGCATCTAAGACCATAAATAGAGTAGGAGCATGCTTTGGGGTATCACATGAACATTTCATCTATAAATTGTCTACTGAGACGTATTTTTATAGCAAAACTATTTGTCATAATAAAGGCCCTAATAAAGGCCCTAACATTTATTCTAAAAAAAAAACTTTCCAAATCTCTTATAATATCTAATCTACTTAGTTGTCTGACATGAACTTCTCAGATTTATCTCTCTCAACCAACATTACAGCAGATTAAGTTAATTTTATAGGTACCGTACATTCCAAAACAATTTTCCACCAGAGTTCCTCTGCGTACCGTCAAACGATGGAATACATGGTAAAGCCGCATCAATGGAAATTTGGCGGTGCATTTAGATTTAAAACCTTAGTTAAAAGCAATAATACACAATGTTTTGCAAAACAAATTTAGTAGAAGTACCAGATAGAAATAAAATCTTCCGTCCTTCCGTGGAAATTCTTGCCTTCAAAGCGACAACATCAAGTCCTAATAACACGTCTCAGATTCGGACACACTTTTTATATTATCTTATAAAATAACCCTAATTAGTTGAAGCAATATAAATAAAAAAAATCTATGATTATTTTTTAACCATCTACATCTTCTCATTGAGTACTATTGGTGGTACACAATGAGACAAGTAGTATTATTTCAATATTTTGTTACAGTAAATACATAGAGTTTAGTTTTTATTATTGAAAATATCAACTTTATAGGTAAAATATAAAAACTGAAATGAAAGAAAATTTTACATGAAATTTTGTTATAAGATGCAAGGAGCTTATTTTGTTGATCTACATTTTTTGGTTTTGGTAAAATTAATACAAAGTCTCAGCTCTCTACTGCAGCAATATCTTCGAATAAAGGAAAAATAAAGCAGCCTTGAAGCTTACCACTTTTTCTTAGAAATGACACTTGTAATTCATTATCGACTTTATCAACTTTAGCAACATAAAATACATTGTTTTCAAATTTCACTAATACAAAACTATCAATTAAAATTTCTGTACTAGCATCAATGCCAAAATCGTCTTCCGAATGTAAATTTTCACATTCTTCACCAGGAGAATCATCATAATTGATTGATTCTTCACTCTCCTTAGATGAAATGCTTTCACTTCGTTTATTTTATTTTCTGTTCTCGTGCTGAGCTGCTTGCCTAATTTGAATTTATCCTAATTCGTTTATTATTCTGAGGAGTCTCCTTAGAAAGGACTCCTTCACTCTCCTCAGTGGTGAATTACCAGCCGAATCGGCCTGATTGGCACGCAACATCAGCACGGCATTCACCCGATCTTTCATTCATGCACAATTCTCACGCACTCTACCACTTTCTCACTATGACTGAGTTCTTTTCTCCCTCTATTCCTTCCTGTTCATATTCAATCTCACCCCTTCTTGCTTGGTCCTGGGCACCCTGCCTCTATTTGGGTAGCCTTTTTTCTTGTTCCTTTTTTCCAATGTTCTCCTCACTGATCTCTGAAGTGCTTTTCACCGATCTGACAACCTAAGCATTTCCTCCACTAGTTCCCCACTCCACTGCGAGCATCTGCGTCAGGAAGTAATCCAAACGCCGGTGCCGGCAATCTATCCATCTTCTCAGATTATGAATCAACAACTTCGTCTACTGCGCCACCCTTCTCATCTCGTTCCATTCCATTGTGGACCTTTTCCTTCTGGTTGATATATACTAAGATTTCTATCCTTTGGAGTCCAGCTATTTTATACTTGATCCAATTCGCTGGAACTGGAATGTTGTTTTTAATCGTCATAACTGCTACCTTTCGTGCTTGAATGATTGTTAATCCGTAGTTCATTTTACTACAAGTTTTGACATAATCACAGAAATAAATTTCCTGTTCCTCTAAAAACACATGTTGTACAGCATCATTGAGTTCCATTCGATCATTGCATGGATTAGTACGTTTTCTTGCCCCATATCTTTGTAATGTCTGAAATTCTCTCCAATTCTCAATGATTTTTCATTTAAAACATCTTGCTACTTCTCTGCTAAGCTTCAGCCAATTTAACTGAAACTACTTTTACATGAGAAAAGTGTTGTAGTCCTTTCTGCAGTCAATTCCTGATAATAAACAATAAATATTTTAAATTAATTTGCCATCTTGCCTTTATGCCTTTGATGGAATTGATTCATAAAGGCAAACTGAACGGTGAATTTAAACCGAGTTTTCAATAATACCCGGTTTAACAAATTTTCAAGAATAATTAATTTTAATGTTTGTATTTATGTTTGAAGATAAAAGATATTTATCTTTCTCTGTTAAGATATTCTTTTTTCTAATCCAAAATCATTTGTGTGCAACGCTTTGTCTTTCAGCGACTGTTGCTCCTCTTGTCTTTGT